CTCTTCCAGCTAAGGCAAGAAGAAACAAGTTTGCAAAGCCATGTTTCCAAAATTTGCATCAGGCCCTCTTTCATTTAAAAACTACTTTTGTTTCAGTGCAGACAACTCCAGATCAATTTATTGTGGATAACGTGAACAGCTTACGGGTGTGCAAAAGCAAGTAATTTTCACCAAGTTTTATTAAACAGGAAAAATTATTAAAATCTGATTACTTAAATAAACCACTTAAGGAACCCTCTTGAGAAAGACAAATAAACATTTGCAGTATTACATTCAGAAGTAATTCTGCAATTCTTTATTTAGGAGGGCTAGCACACGTGCCTTCCTTTCTGGAATAAACACTGAAATTATCCAGACTGTAACTGATGACGCTGTTACCTTAAAAACTATCATCTTCTTAAACAGTTAGCAGAAATCCTCACCCAAAATTATACCGAAGAAAAAGTTATGGGCAACTGCTCCCTGAAATCAGTAACAAAACTCTCTCAGATATCAATAGCAGAGAACGAGGGTCTTCGCAAACCTTAACCTCTAGGACAAAGAGGGAGAAAAAGATAGCAGGTTGCAAACAACAAATGGGATGCAGGAGCAGATCAAATGTAACCAAACAGCATTAAGTCCTAAGTCCTCAGGACTAAGTCTAGTCGGTCCCTGTGCACACAGCACAAGTTCCAACGTCCTCCTTTGCCTAGGAAGGACAGGTTTGAGGGGATGGTCTCCTCCCTGTAAAAGATGTTTATTACATAGCTTTTAAGAGATGTAATTGCATCAAGTATGTGAGCCCTGCCCATATTTTACAGGAATACAGCATCAACTCAGGATGTGCACTCACAGCTTCAGTAGGGTATTCTTCAGCAGTTTCTTACCCACAGAAATAGCTTGCACTTGCTTGGTGAGGGAATTCCACTTGCAAACCTTTTTGCCAGTGATGTCCACATACAGGAGCGAGTTTTCCTTTTCATCCCAGACAGGGGATTCCCCAATCTTGTAATTCTCACTAGCAACACACTCAATCTTAACGGATGACATGCCTAAGGGGAAAATAATTTCAGTTTTACATAAGTCTGTAAAGAGCAAGCATGCATAACATTAAACCCAAAATTTTAATGCTAAAAATAAATACGCTTACATCCACTTTAAATATATATTTTCAATCTAGGAGTTTTTGTGGTAAAAAGCATAAATCACCGGGGAAGTTTGTTTCTGATTAAACTGACAGCCTCATGCTCTTTTAACTCCTTCGCGTTTTCCCCACGCATCCAGAATCGTACCAAAAGAAAACCATAAACGCATTAAACCAATTTAACCGTGTGACGGCACCATCTTCTCCCTCCCGCACTTGGTGGAGTATTTAAAAAGAGCGAAACACCTGCCAAAACGAGGGGCGAGGAGGCCACGACGAGGCCCCCCCCGCATACCCTCTGCCCTCCCCCGGGGGGCCGCTGCCACCCCAAAACCACCCCAGAGGCGCATCGGTGCGCAGCCCCACAAACCTCTACTCCAACCGGCAGCTTAAATAATAATTAAAGAAGTAAACTAAAAAGAAGAGAAAGGTGCGGGCCCGCAGCGGGTGC